CCAAAACAAAAGAAAAAAATGGATAAACCCCTTTTTTTCCCCCTGCAGGTTTTTTTTTTTTTTTTTTTTTGTTGGTATGCACAACAAACAATTATGAAAAATTGTCATGTGGACTCATTTCAACATATGCCAACCACCCAATTTCGCAAAATTAAAGTTGTGATTAGACCTTGGCAATCCAAAAGGAAAAATGTTGGACGATCCAACGAGTACCGAAAAAAGAAAAAAGAAAAAGGGCTCGGACAAAAATGGAAATTTTTATCTATGACTGTAACACTGTTTTTAACGCTGTTAATTCAGTCTCATAATTATGTCAAGTGTAGTTATCAAATATATCCTTGTATTAGTGTTATCATCTCCAATCCGATATAATCCAATCCGATACGATCCAAATCTATCTCGTTATCCAGTTGAATCTCAAACCACCTTTAGTACCATCATTAACGAATTTTACACATGTTAAGACTGTGTGGCGGTATTAGGATGACAAGGATAAAATTGATCGGACAGAAGGAGGAGGGTAGGTTTGAAACAAAGGAAAGAGGTTAAGGATCATAAAGGGTGTGGGCCTAGAGGTTTCGATATATTATGGAGGGGAGAGTGATAGGTGGGCCTGGGCTAGACATAATTGAATGGTGGAGGCCCACTTTGGAAGGTAGCAGTACTGTTTCCACTTGGGGAAAACAACCTCTTTTGAAGCATAGCCTCGTCCCACTTCCATTATTAGAAGGTTTTTATTTGGCAATGGCAACCATTTGCCCTCCCACTCATTGTCTTAAGAAAAATGAATCCTTCTTTCATGAGATGAGATTGTTGAGGAGAGATTAGACGCGTAGAGGCAGATTTTATATAAATTGCTATTGGGTTGAGTTGGGTTGGGTTGGGTTGGGTTGGGTTGGGGCTTGTTGGGAATTTTGTCTGGTGCTGTGTGACGTGACCACCCTTTTCACCTCTCCTCTCTCTTGGGCCCCCACCCTCTCAGACAATATTTGTTTCCCTCTCTGACACCAGCACCCCCCTTCTCATAATTATAACAAAATGTAGATATTTTTTTGGTAAAGAAAACTACAAAAACTTAACTACCATAATTAAATGTAAGTTTTTGTAACTGTTACTATATTGGATTTGACTTAATTAAAGTGTACTTAGGACCCGTTTGAAACTGTTTCTATATTAAACACTTTTTATTCGGCTAAGGTGTACTAGCCTTTTGTGATTCCCCGATTGTATTTATACTTCTACTCATAAGCATTTTTTATGCGAGAAAGATATTCTAGTTTTTTACGGAATACCTTATTGTCTAGACAATTAATGTGATTATTTTTATTTTTTTTGGTGAGTAAATTTATAAAATGTGGTGCGTAGACTGTCGGCACTCATTTATAAATTCATAACCTTTTTTGTACAGAATAGTCGACATCTAGAATATTGACTAAAAACACAAAACTAAAGAATTGTAAAATCTTTTCCTATTCCACTCTCTATCTTTTTTTTCTCTTTAAATTTGTCTTGGCTTATCTTGCTTGTTCTTATTCTCTCTCCTCTAAAAACAAATGTATTTTTCCTGAATATTTTAATGCCAAATATTATTTTATTCATTGAAAATATCTTTGTTTAACATAAAGCAAAAGAGGAGTTTAGTGTTGATGATGTCAAGCATGATGTTATCTCTTAATCTACGAATCTATCTGCCAATCTATCCAGGCTTTGAGTTGGCTTCCAGCATTCAAGTTAGAACTTAGACCCACACGCGCATCTATAGACTGCTTGTCACGCTCCTACTCTTATTTTTCTGTAAACATATCGCAATTAATTTTCTTTTTGTGTCATTTACCAAGCCATGAAAACATATCCTAAGAAAATGACTTAAGCAACTTTGGTTAAATCTGACTGAATATGAAACAAGTAATAAGATTAAGTTTGATCAATAATAAATAATATTTCTTGGTTGAAATTTATAGGTAAAATATATGTCTCAAAACATTATAATCCTAAACTATCTTATAGCGGGTACCATCGCAAATGATGTTCACGAACTAACAAAGAAGTCCTCTTATGATGAAGCAAATGAGATTGTTGAAATTCAGCATCATAATTCTTTGCACATATAAGACTTCTCTCAACACGTATTGGTTCAAAACCGAAAAGTACTACAATCCTTGCATTCCATATAGTCGCAAACCAACACGGGGCACATACAACCGCAACTCGTTGACGACCACCAAACCCAAAATTAAAGTATCCAAGGCATCAAATTTGCCAAAATGCCAGCCCTTTAAGGCAAAATTCAAAGAGAGGAAAACTACACATATCCGAAGTAGATATGAAAACTCTAATATGCTAATAAAAAACACTAAGCCAAACCAACACAGCAAAGAGAGAGGGGAGGGATGGGAAAAGGGGAAAGGGGACGGCAACTATAATTCCTTAGGCTAGGATTTTTATTTTTTTTTAATTTCCTTTTGCTCTCATTTCAAGAGGACCCTTGAGTGTCATGAATTTTTTTGGTTTTCATTTTCATTTACAAATGGTGTTTTCATAATTTAATGTGCCTATAAATCTGGATAGTCATGCACCAACTCACCCTAAACATGGATTCATAAAAGATGTTAAGAAAACTTAGGTATTTAGGGATGACCACGCTACCCTTCTATAAATTCCAATTGCAACTTAATGTGAACTAGAATAGTATGCTTATGCATTCTTAAGCTATAAGAACAAAAATAGAAACCCTAACAAACTAGAGTTACTAAATTTGTAATTCGGCCTAAAGTATGGTTTCAGTTCTTTTATTACAAGTTTTGATAGTTTAATTATTTTGTGTTGGATCATATTACTGAATTAGATTGACCGTATAACAATCTCGATAACAAATCCTTAAGATATAATGACGATAATGTCGACACTTGATGTTTAAAAAAAGTCAATTCCCATAAAATCTAGTTTTGACTTGTGATTGTATTTTCACAGGGCGTATGTAATCTTATAAATTCTCTTAAATTGTAATACACGTATTATTTACTTAAACTAGAAATTTCAAATTGCGGAACTACTAATCCTACACATGTTACAATTCTTGAATACTTGTAACACCCCGTTAACATAGTCGAACTAAACTAATCAAGTGAAGGAAGGACCACAAATGGTGTAAAAAGGAATATAGTTTGAATGAAGAAGAAGTAATCTTGTCATTTGTAAAAAATTGTTCAAAGCATTAACAAGGGGAAAGATGAGAAAAGAAAGGAAGAAGAGAAGTAGAAGTGTAGGAGACGCGGGAAAGGAAGAGAGTGAGGAGAGGAGGGCCACAACAATACGAGGTACAGCAAATAGGAAGGGGCATTGGTCGCTAGAAGAACGAAAGAGGCAAAGGTGGCCCTCTTCCCGTACTCTTGGATTGGACTTTTTTGGAAAGACCTTCCTTTTCCTACCATTATTCCCATTTCCTTTTTCTGATACCAAACCAAACCCAGTAATAACAACCCAGTCACCACTCACCACCTCTCTCTCTCTGAGACTGAGAGAGAGGAGGTCCTTGATTTGATAATTACACCCTTTTTTTCTTTCCCAAAATGCCCCGGTTATCCACCCACTATTTACTGCCCTTCTTCCTTATGGTAAAAACTAAAAACCAGGTGAAACACAAGATACCTGAATATGTGAAAAAAAGTGAAATCAAATAGTTTTTTATTAATTAATTAATTATTTTGTTGACTTGTGATGTGAACGTTGAAATAATTAAGTTGCTAATAAAGGCAATGGAGTAATTAGCCATCTATTTTAGTGTTTGGGCTGTCTACTTCCATTAGTGGGTAAATAGAATAGAGAGAGAGAGAGAGAGAGAGCAGAATGCTTTTCGATTTGGTTAACGTGGGAAAGTTGTGTAAGAAAGAGATGGTTCTTTCTTTTCTCTCCCCATTACCCCATCTGATCCATGCTCCTTTGAACCCACCAATAACCCCAAAAAAAGAGAAAAAAAAAAAAAAGAAGAAAAAAAGAAACAGAGAAAGAGAAAGAGAGACAACAGTAAAGTAGAACTGTACACAACAAGTTTAAAGCCCAAAAACTTCAAGTTTAATCTTTATTTAATATAGATGCCAAAAATGCATACTACAAAATTTTATAAAATTGAGTGATTGCACAAAATAAAAAGTAAAGAGAGAGAGAGAGAGAGAGAGAGAATTATGAGTCATTGAAAGGAAAAGGAAGCAAGTGGTTAGAGATGGAGAGAGAGAGAGAGGGGTATTAAGGGTGGGGTGAGAAAGCTCGAGGCTAAGGCTTTACTGAAACTGGCCTCGTCTATGCTGTATTGGGCAGTTTTAGGCGCCATATACAAGCACAAGATCTTGGAGTCCATAGCTCCATAGCTTCATAGCTCCATAGCTCTCTCTCTCTCTCTCTCTCTCTATTAACCCTCCTCCTACTCTTGCCTTTTTGCAAAGACACAAAACCTGCAACATTACCCACCTCTCTCTTTTCTCTCTTTAACTTTTCCTTTTCGTGTTTCTTGTTGAGGCCTTTTTTTTGTTTGCCACGCTGAATTCTGGGTTTGATGTAAAAAATAATACTGAACACTGAGCAAACATCTGGTAGACAAACCCAACAAAGGGACAGAGAGAGAAAAAAAATGTGGGATCTCAATGACTCGCCTGATCAGCGTCCACGTGGCGATGAATCAGAGGGCTGCTCCTCCCAGAAGACCTCGGCCGACGGAGACGAGGAAAAGGGCAAACGGGTCGGATCCGTAGCCAATTCAAGCTCCTCGGCCGTGGTCGTCGGGGACGACGGATCAGACGAGGAAGAAGACGACGACGGCCCCGCCAAGCTCGCCAAGACGCGGGGAGGAGGAGGGGGCAAGATATTCGGGTTCTCCATGACCCACGAGGAGTCCATGGATAGTGATCCGCCGCCCGTGACCGTGACCCGACAGTTCTTTCCGGTGGAGCTAGACTCCACCTCTGAAATAATGGGGCCCACACCTGGTCGCGGACCCCCGGGAAACCCGCCGGCCCCGGTGGAGGCAGCCCACCAGCCCATGAAGAAGAGCCGGCGTGGGCCTCGCTCCAGGAGCTCTCAGTACCGCGGCGTGACGTTTTACCGGAGGACTGGCCGATGGGAGTCTCATATTTGGTCAGTTATTAGTTAGTTAATTTCACTTCACATAATTAGTAACTAATTTTTTCAGTTACTATTCCTATGTTTCAAAAAAAAAAACATATATATATATATTTCTATGTTTAATTTATTTTGTACTTTGGCACAGGGATTGTGGGAAGCAAGTTTATCTTGGTAAGACTCTGACAAAAATGATGCCCTTGTGCTTTGGCTTGCAATTTTAATTTTATTTTATGGCGTGTTTACTGATGGGACTGTTTTTTTCCTTTCTCCATAATACGATTAATAGGTGGATTTGACACAGCACATGCAGCTGCACGGTGAGCTCTTCATCTTCAAAAACCAAGGTTTAATTTTGTGGGGGAAAATGTGGGGGCTGGAAAAAAGATGAGAATTTATTTTGTGTTATGCAGTGCTTATGATCGAGCGGCCATCAAGTTCCGGGGAGTGGAGGCTGACATAAATTTTAGCATAGAGGATTATGAAGAAGACTTGAAACAGGTGAGAGAGAGTGTACGGCCCCCCAAAAAAAGAGAAAGGGCTTTGAACTTATCTTCAACAGTTTTTTTTTTTAATGCCTTATCTTCAACAGTTGCAGAAAATAAATAAATAAATTTCTTTTATTTTATTTTTGAGTTTTCGTTTGTTATAATTTTCTTGGGATGTTTGCATGAAATGAAACACAGATGACCAATTTAACAAAGGAAGAATTTGTGCATGTACTTCGCCGACAAAGCACCGGGTTCCCCAGAGGTAGCTCCAAATATAGAGGGGTCACCTTGCACAAGTGTGGGAGATGGGAGGCCAGGATGGGCCAATTTTTAGGCAAAAAGTAATCAACCTCTCTCTCTCTCTCTCTAGCTTTACCCTTCAATTCTCATTTCACCAGTTTTCTTGTACTACTTCCTTGCTTCATGAATTGCTCAATGATTTTCATAGGTACGTGTATTTGGGCTTGTTTGATACCGAGATTGATGCTGCAAGGTACATATATATACATGATATCGTGCTACGGATCTGCTCTCTCTATATATAAATATATATATATATATATCTCGTAATGTTGAGTTCAGTTCCTGAAGATTTGAGTTTTTTTTGGGGTTAATTTTATGCTACTTCAATTCTTGTAGGGCCTATGACAAAGCAGCAATCAAGTGCAATGGCAAGGAAGCTGTCACTAATTTTGATCCCAGCATCTACGAGAACGAGCTCAACCCTTCCTCTGGTAATTCAAATTGTATAACATTATTAATGCATTGTAATTAATCTGATCATTTGGATATATGTGTTTGCGTAGAATCATCCGGCGTTAATCCTGCAGAACACAATCTCGATTTGAGTTTGGGCAATTCAAACTCGAAGAAAAACAATCAAGCTTTTGGGAGTAGTGATCATGGCCAAAATGCTGCAATGGAAGTTCAACATTCTGCCTCAATGCAACTCGAAGCCGATTGGCGGAATCAAGGGCTTCGACAAAAGGTTTCGTAACAAATGTTATTTTTATTTAATTACATTAATTCTTGCTTGAACGTGTGATCCATACATATTTGTATCATAAATCCGTCTAATTATTTTTGTTTCTTACATTTAATAGCTTAACCTACAAAGGGATCGATCTAGAGAGGAGAGTGATGCACACAGAAGAGATGGATACTTAGAGACAGAAGCCATGCAGCTACTACTCAGAACCAACCTTCATTCTCCAGCCCCAACTGAAATGCATAAATATGGGCAGTTTAGTAGGAGGCCTAACGTTGGAGACACCCAAATGCCTCACATTTTCCCACCACATTTCAACTCACCAAACAATTACCACCATGTAAGCACAATTAAATAATTTTCGACTCATGATTTGCTACGTTGATGATCAATTTGCTTAAAATTATTGTGATTATTTTTCCTTTTGTCACAGGTTCAGATTCCAAGCAGCAGCGAAGGAGGCCGCATCGGCAGTGATCTTTCACTCTCGATGAGTGACCACCCACACCAACAACAATGGCAATCCGGCATGCCGACTTCCGATATATTTGCAACTGCTGCAGCATCATCAGGATTCCCACCTCAAATCAGACCGTCCGCGCAAAATTGCTGGCTTCCTACATGTTTCTGCCTAATTTCCACCATGTCCCATTCTATCTAATTAATTACCAAGTCCCCTTGATATGTTTGTGTTTGTAAGCCTTTAGATTTGATCCCCAACTCCAATTTTTTTTCAGAGTCCCAAAAAGAGAAACTAGTCAAGAAGAGGAAGAGAAAGGAAAAACAAAAGAGAGGAAGGAAAGTCTCCTGTTTTGTGGGAAATTTATGGTCATTGGTCAAACTAACAAATGGAAAAAATCCATCTTCAACTAGATATTCTGAGTTCTGACAACAATACATATCTGATTTAATTTTAATTTTAATCGTTGTTTTATTATTTTATATGTAATTCTAGAACATGTGTTACTGACTTATTGCGCCCAGCTGCTAGATTAAGTTATGATATTTTGGATCCAAAGGTTGTCATCTTTCTATTTTTATAATTCGACCTTTTTTGGTCTTAAAAGTGGGGTTGAGGTTGAGGGCAATGCATGATATTTATTTTGGTGAGAAAACAGAGAGGAAGAAAATTTGAGCTTCAAAGATGGGGTGGATGGAGACACAGAGAAATTCAGGCATACGAAAACAGGTATTTTGTATTGTCTTGGAAATATCACCCAATGGTGATGAATAGTCCCCATCATCGGTGTCCTTTGAATCAGTTCTCTCCTCCAAAAGCAGTAGTCAGACACTGCTATTATGACGAGAGGGACCTTTCATATATTTCAAAAGACAAAAAATTAAAAAAATTAAAAGATGGAGACCAATGGGGTTAGGGTTCTACTTGAGGTTTAAAATTTAGTCATGTCAGTTCGGAGATGGAGATTCGAACTTGTGACCGACTGATCTTAAACAACTCACCTAATCCCCGTATGTTTAGTCGTGTCTGTTTTAATTACAAAGCAAACACAAAAGACACTAAATAAAAATGGGGTCAAGTTAGACCTAGAACATGCGACAATACGAAGAACGTATTTTTATTATTATATTTGTTTGTCATTTTTAATAAAGTAATAAATTAATAAATTAGTATATTAATTAGGTATTGTAAGTTAGGCAGATGCGAATAAAATACAAGAGCTGCTTTCATCATCATGCGCGTCACACCAAGATTTTTCTGGGCGCATACAAATTATATTCTCTCTCTCTCTCTCTCTCTCTGAGCCATTTCTTGAAGTCTGCATTATAATATAAATATATGTAAATGCATGCCTAAGTTAAGGTACATTGTATATACCTCCCGGTGAAAACTTAGCTAAAGCTGGCTCGACATTCTTGTGCATCTTTGATTGAAGTTTGAAATCTGCACAAAACAAAGCAAACATCTGTAAGCTCATTGTACTTTCATTTTTAACAAGGAAAATGTGGATTAATTAAGTATTTTAATCACCAATTAAGGTTGTAATTAGCTAGGCAAGGAGCAATAATGCAAATCTGAAAGTGCTAACAAAAGAGCCAGAGATTCTGTCCCTTGCATGTGAAAGCAGCAAACTTGGGTTTTGAAGCAAAGAATCCTTCGTACCCCTCTGATTTTCACTGCCACTTTACCTCATTGTTATTTTGACCTAGACGAGAAGCAATACATACAGACGCTTCAGTTTTACTTTGATTTTATTATTTTTTTGAATACACGAGATACAAGGAGTAAGGGAGTTTCTCACACATACAAATAAGGTGCTACGGGATTTCAAACTTGAGGACCACTGATATGCAAATACTTAGCTAGATCCCGTTAGTTATTTTACTTTGATTTTTAAACAAGGAAGATAAATATGTATTTTTATTATTTTTATAATACCGAAACTTTTGTGTGCCGTAGATTTCTTCATAAGTGATCCATGAAGTGGTCCAAAGCACCACTAACGCTGCCACGCGGCTTTATATGATTTGGGTGTGAATTGAATGGAGGAAAAACTCAAATTTTCCAAAAGAGAACAAAGCGACATTGTCCTGTTGTAGCTTAAAGCCCTTTGCCTAAGATCCTTTCCTTTGCATCGGATCTACGAAGCACTGCTAAAACTCAGACAAACAGATTTTATCCCACTCTCTCTCTCTCTCTCTCTCTCTCTCTCATATGCTTTTTACCATTAATTATTATGGTGTAAAAAAGAACCACAGAAGAAGAAAAAGAAAGAAAAAGAGAGGAGAGAGGCTATAATTGATAACCCAGCTATGTTGCATATGTGTTGGAGTGTACTAGGTCTGTACAAGACAACCCTTGTTGTTGAGCAATGTGGGGACCAAAGGAAGGAAAATTAAACAGAAAACTATGAAGAACGAGGACGAGAGATAGATTGGGTATATACATGGGTATGTTGTCTTGTCAACATTCTTGCAACTTGCAACATAACGTGATGTCATTTATCATGTGGATTAGTTGTTGTTCGAATACACTTATCGTATTGATAATCTGATAATAACATGTCGGAGAGTTATTTACGTGCTAACAAGCTATGTAGGCTGTTGAGTGATTAGAAGCTATGTGGGGTGTTGCGTGATTAGAATAACGTACGTAAAATTACAACATCAAGTAAGTATAGGGATGAAAATGAAAACCCTAGTCAAGTAGAAGGACCAAAAGAAAAGCGACATTTGGCCTAGAAGGTATTTATAAAACAAACAAGGGTTGCCTTGGGATAATTTAATAAGAGGGTTTCCATAAATGTGATTGCTTTGCTTGAATGGTTGGAAATGGTTTTGGAGGGGTTGTTTTCTTTATTTGGTTTCATTATTGGTGAGAGTGGTGCGTGTACCGTTTGTCTTTTCACTTTTGTTTTCTGTCCAAAACCATATACGTATTTCTGATGAATGTGACTGTGACTCTGTGGAGGACTCAGACTGGGACTTGACTGTGAAAAGGGTGTATAATTAATTATATATAAATATATAAAATATATTGTGTATTTTCATATATGCATATGCTGTGCACAGTGCAGTGTGTGTGTTAGATCGCTTTCATCATTCACTGAGACAAACTACTTCTTTGGTTTCCCTTTCTGGGACGCGCTTAAGCTTTCCACCCATTCTCTCTCTCTTTAAAACACCCATCAATTCTTTTGCTTTATCTCTCTCTGACTTACTCTCTTTGCTTCCATATATTTCCATTTTTGGGCATTGTTATTATGTCCACAAAATTTACACCCCATCTGCTCCCTCACACCTTCCCTTGCACGGACCTCTTTAATAATATCATTCAAAATTTAACACCTCTTGTCCCACCTGCCCTTCAAGAAGAAGCCTACTAGAGAGAGAGAGAGAGAGCGCTTTAGCAGCCCTTTTCTGTTAGAAGCATGTAAAACTTTCATTAAGGATCGAAATATTTCTAAGAGATAGTTCAGAGGTTCTCAAAAAGTACAATTGTTTATTTTGATCATACTGTACTGTACTAGTATTAGAAACAGTTTGATTATCTGAAAATATGTTTGACACATATGAAGAATAATTATAACACAAACTTACGTTGTTTGAGAGATAAGAACCTTATTGACATAGGATTGTGTGGTTTGAAAGTGCGTGGGCGTGACATTATCCTTCTCTTTTTGAATTTTTTTATTCAAGAGCTTGATGTACGGAACATAACCTTAAGGACCAACCATGTCACAAAAAAACATAAAGGATCAAAGGTGCTTATTTTGCAAATCTCAGGGACCATTTGTAATAAAAAGCCTATATTAAAGATAGTTTAGAGGTTCTCAAAAAGTACAAATTTTTATTTTGATCATAGTGTACTAGTATTAGAAACGGTTTGATTACATGAAAATACGTTTGACATGTATGAAGAATATTTCTAACACATACTTTATGTTGTTTAAGAGATAAGAACCTTATTGACGCGTGAGTGTGTGGTATGAAAGTACGTGGGCGTGACATGGTCCTTCTCCTTTTGAGTGGAGCTTAATCATAAAGCATGGTACCTTTGCATATAGAAAGGATCCCCCCACTAAGGAAAGAGCCTGCATTCAAAGGATTGGGACGAAACTAGCCTAAATATGTAGAATCATAGATGGAGCCAACATAGGCGATAGCTATAGCTGCATGAACGTGTCTGAAACTTTGCTAAGAAAAGCAAAAATAACTTGTCCTCAGGCTAACCCTACCAGCCGATTCCATTCTAATAGGTCAAGAAAAATGGACAAGGCATGTTTTGTAGGTAAGGGCTAATCTAGGCTATTCACTAGCCAAACTGTTGAAAACCCAGTTGGGTGGAATTGGGATATAACTTGTAAGTGGGAAAGGTTTTTAAAAGTATCGTTAGATGCCTCAAGAAAATAATAAATAACATGATATGCATAGCCTGGACTTTATCAATTACTCTGCAAATTATAATTCAGGAAATATTAACAGATTTGCTTGGTCCATTTTGGGGTAGGGGATCAAAAGTTTCCTTTCCTAGAGGGCCTCTTCCTGCCTCAAAATGCTAAGCAAAACCCTAGCCTCTGATTAACATGAACACCAATTATGGTATCATGGGAGTTCAGTGAGACGGTGGGTGAGGACATCAATTTCCTGCAACAACAATCCAACAATTTTATTTATGGTTGAAAACGAAAAACAAAACAGAAACTTGTTGCCTAGGAATCAAAGAACCCACACAATTGTTTGTTAATATATATATATATATACACACACACCTCAGATGTCTAATTTTCTCATCCACAAGTTTCATAAATCGCAAAAGATAATGAGCTGTTCTGTTGTGAATTCTCCATTGGTGTCCCATTTAGCAATTGGATTGGACCACCAGACCAAAAGTACTGTTTGTGAATGCTACGGCTACAGATAAAGTTGATTCATGGTCCCCCTTTTAGAAAGAGTTTTGATACGAAGGGGATGCTCTTAAAAGTTAAACATTATCTCTATTTATTTATTTTATTTACATATATGATGCAATATCGAAGGCAGTAAAATAAATAGACGAACATAATATATATATATATATATATTTTTTTTGGTGAAGGACGAACATAATGTTTTTGATAAACTACTTAGTTGATTATTTTAGTACGGATGATATTTGAAGGGAAAAAGAAAAAAAAAAAAAGATGGTTCGGACCGTATTAAGTTACACGGTGGTTTAATGAGGTTTATACAATTGGATGCATAAACCAAAAACTTTATAAGAATCCTCTTCATTTTGTCATAGAAGATGTATGGAGGTAGAAGGAGCTGGAGTTTGCCCGGTAGCAGCAAGCACCTACTAGCTTAAGCTTTTGTCCACCTTCTGTCTCCAATACAGCAAACGAAACCCAATCCTAAAGGAACTGTGCTGGTATTGTACCATACACCAGTTTAATTTCTGAGCATTAATTATTAAGAAGTTTGGGTGAATACCAATGCTTCACCCACCATAAAATATAATATAAAATAATTATTGAAAATTCCCAAGTACGTACCTTCTTCTCTTTTTATACTTCCAAT